AGACAGAGAACCAGTTTGGTTTACTCATTCCCAAGGCTCTACTTATACAACGTAGCTTTGACCACAAACGCTTAAATCGTATAATCGCGCCAATGTTGAGAAAATACCGAATTTTGCCTTATATGCAAGATATACTCAAGTGTACAGATGAACATTTGGCTGTGTGGCGAGAGACTTATGGTAGACAAGATAAGACCAACGAAATTGATCGTGAAATATTTAAGGAATATAGCAATCTGATGATGGATATCATAGGCATAATCGCGTTCGACCACAATTTCAATGCAGTTGGAAAAATTGACATACAAAACGAGGTGCCGAACCACCAAGAAATGACATTAGGCGAAGCAACGTCATTTCTAATGCAGACGCTTGCAGACACAGTCCTTTTACCCTTGCCAACATTTCTTAAACGCTTCTATTTGACTTGTTTTTGTCCGAAGTATCGACGATCTCTCTCGATCCTTCATGACTACGTCTATCGTATTATCGAAGAGCACAAGGGAAAGTATCAGAAAGCTGGTAACGAGGATGAATCAAAACCAGCAGTGAGACAGAATCTTCTCACGCTCCTCACTTCCAGCTTGCAGGAAGATGAACTAATGGAAGCAAAGAAAGCGCCAAATGAACGTGAAGGAATATCAAGACAAGAACTTTTAGACAATATCACAATGTTAATATTTGCCGGCTATGAAACCACCGCAACAGTCCTCTCATGGTTTACTTATTTCGTTTCGAAGCGTGCTGAAGTACAGAAAAAAATGAAGCAGGAAATTCGAGAGTATTGTAGCGCAGAGTACGAAGTAACAGTAGAAAATTTACGGAAACTTGAATATGTCGATTGTGTGCTGAAAGAAACTCTCCGTCTAGCGCCAACTGTCGTTGCCGTTAGTCGCGAACCTACTCTCAGTGGTGAAAAGACTGAATTAGATAGAGTGATTCTCAGTAAAGGTCAAAATCTAATGGTTGCAATTGCCTGCCTCCATACTGATGAACGAAACTGGAAAATGAATCCACTCGAATTTCTACCTGAGCGATTCTATGGTCCTAATGCACCCGATGCAGAACATCACCCATTTGCTTTTTTACCATTTGGTGGCGGAAGGCATCAGTGTGCCGGACAAGATTTGGCGCGTTTTGAATTGAAATTGATCATTGTACGATTGATGCAACATGTGATATTTGAAGATGCACCAGGAAACACCGGTGGACACGTTCAACGAGTAACTGTCATACCAAAAAATATGGCTATTCGAGTTAGATTTGACGACAAGAAAGTAGAGTAGAACGATCAAGTCCTTTTTGTAATTTTCTAACTATCTGAAATACTGGCGTTTAGTTTCTGGAGACAGCTTTCTCCCGTGCAACGATATCTAAATTTAAGGATACGTTGGTATCTTATCCATGCACATCATTTTTGCCGTTTATAAGACGAAAGTGAAAAGTCGAAAGAGTTGTTGAGTTGGACTGCAGGGTTGGACAATGACTTGATAATATTTAAAACGATTAAGAGCCAATAATTTGATTAGAATATTCCTTTTTAAATTAACAGCAGCCATAGACTAAACTGAAATCTATTTTACTAAAAAATAAGATCTGACGTTTCGACTCTTCATAGAGTCATTTTCAAAGAATATTACAGAACATTACTGTACTTTACGCATGAAATGTTGTGAAAAGAACGAAGAATTTTGTTGAGAATAGTACAAGAATGTTTAAAAATGACTTACGGAAGTTTACAACTAAAATTCGATCAGATTCACAATTAACAATTATTGAAAAGCCTCCAATATCAGTTCAAAATTTCTTTGATTTTAAGGATAAAATACCAAATTACTTGAAGTGTGATGTCATTTATAACGTTAAACGTAAAGACTGTAGTTCACAGTATATGGGTAAAACTAAACGACAAGCATGTAGACGACTGTATGAACATGGATTACCTAAAGATACCTATAGTTCTCAATCATCTCAGTCATTATCTAATGTGACTTCATCCTCTATGACCAGAGCAGCACAATCAGTGAAAACAGCTCGAATAGCTAAAACAAAAGCTACTCAGAAAATAACGGAACAGGTTAAACTAATGAATGCCTCTGATCGAAAGATTCTCGAAGAGATTGATGATTATTCAGACATTAAAGATGTGAAGTCTGCTCTACAAAAACATGTTGAAGATACCTCTCACTCTATTGATTGGCAGAATTGGCGTATAATGGACAGGGACAAAGTTGAATATCGATTGTTAGTCAAAGAGTCTTTGTTAATAGCATCATTCAATCCTGACTTAAATCGTACAGTTAGGTCTGTACCTTTTATTGTGTTTCCCGACGGCCTTTCTCAGAGAAAGAGCAAAAGGAATATTGATCCAGGCGGATAGAGAAATGCTATGAAGAGTGAAACAAAAGGGACTGATAATATAATTACTGACTGACTGTTTACAAGTAACACACAATATATACAGACAAAATTCTTCTTTCTTTTCACAACATTTCATGCGTAAAGTACAGTAATGTTCTGTAATATCCTTTGAAAATGACTCTATGAAGAGTCGAAACGTCAGATCTTTTTTTTTTTTAATAAAATAGATTTCAGTTTAGTCTATGGCTGCTGTTAATTTAAAAAGGAATATCGATAATATTTCATAAGCTAGTGATACCTACTGATGACTATCGATTTTTTAATCACGGTCGAACCGAGGCTCTCGGACTCACACTGACTTGTAGGACAGCCTGAATGACTTTTTTGTCAACATAAACGAGCTTCGAAAAAGACAAAAGCAAGCTGAAGAGAAACTAAAGTATTCCGTTCTTTCATTATTGTATTCATTGTGGTGCTTCCCTTAGTCCCGCACTCATAAGTGACACAACATTGTGAAAATAAATCAGTTGTGTATTAGGTATGCGTTCACAGAAATTTCTTATGAAAAATTGTTTACATCATAAAAGGAAGTGCAGCTAAAGTGTAAGTTTATCCAAGAACATATAATTATTAAAATTTTTTCTTTAACTATAAGGTATATGTTCGGCCGAGCTTTCGAGTGTTTATCGTAAAATGTAATCTTGAATGAAAGAAAGTGCTGTTGAGGAGATGAATATGGATTTTACGTGTTTGGAATATTCTGTTCCCTGCATGAATGAAAAAGAAAACTTGAAACGGAAGAAAGATACCATGAAAAGAATCGTGATTTAATTAGGTATGCATGAGATGCAGTTTTCACTATATTTAAGCAACAACGACAGTATATGTTCGAATCAAAACCCGTCGTTTCATCACAGAATAATGGTAGTCGTTTTTTTTTATTTAGCTGGCTTTTCTGCAGTACTTTTGCAAGTTATTTTGTCAGCACCCACACAGCTTCAAAATCAATCCCAACCGCAACAAGCGAACAGAACGCGACGTCAGGGTTATGTGCCTCCATCACCTTACGGCAACAGCGGTGCGCAAATACCGTTTCAGACGAACGCTGGTTTGGTACAGTGCGTACTCAGTTTCTTTACAGGGTGCCCCGGTCAGCCGCCGCCGCCTTGCTTATCAGGCGATGGGCTAGTTTTTGAAGCAAAGTCAAAAACGCAAAAATACGTCAGTGAACTAAAAGTTGGTGACATTGTAGCATCTCTGGATGGCTTCTCTGAGGTATTCATGATTTCTCATTATTCACACGATGAACCAAGTATGTGACTATTATCACGAGCTTTTTTCTTTATACAAAAGCCTTTCACTCATTTGCTGTAGCACTGTTCATAACCGTTCACTGCGCTAATGGAGACGTTCTCAGTTTGACATCCCGACATTTGATTCCTGTTCATCGAGATGGAGTTCGTATTTATGTCAATGCTGATAAAGTAACAACCGACGATTTTGTCCACATTAGTAAACTGGACACATCCGCATTGATAAAAGTTAAATACATTAAGAATGAAGTAAAGATGGGATATTATTCGCCCATCACTATGGACGGTAAGTATTACCAAAAAAAACCAGTCTGAATGATTCAACTCTCATTTTCTATACTGCTTACTCATAGGTACAATCGTCGTTAATAATGTAAGTCGTAAATCCGAAAACCAAAGTTCTGTCGATCATTTAAAACTTTATATAAGTTTTAGCTTGTTGTATCAGTTTATGCAGAAATAAACAATCATTTTCTGGCTCATCTTGGCATGACACCTTTGCGATGGTACTATCGTTTGATGAAACATTTCACACAGGAACCATTTCGCCCAAGTGCAAATGCTCAGGTCCATTGGACTAACGACTTTCTCAATCAATTGGGTGCAACATTCATGCCCAGCTTATATACATAAATTTGTCTCTTCCGTGAATGGAAAATTTTCCTACATTTTGGATATGTGTATATTCACAAACAATTTTTCTCTCTCCTACACTTTTATTTTTAAGTTTTTAATTTTAAAAATAAATAGAATGCTTGGTCAGACTCAATCCATTTTTCGGTTACATCTATATCGCAAACGAGGAGGATCAGACAGTTTAATTAGTCCTAAAATTCTTTCCATCCTACATAAGTTCCATCTGAGTTTTTAATGTTTTTTAAAGTTCACTCGAGCATCTGTCTGTTATGGCTCAAGTCGTCCGATTTAGGGTACGGTACCCCTTTTTTTCACGATTCCGCCGATCAGTCACCAGAAGTCCTACAGACCTGAAATTTTTACAAGTTGATGGCCTCCTGATTGGGTATAACCTTACAGAAATTTTTGACTTTGATTCAGTTTTCGAGGAGTTGTAAAGATAACTTGCTTTTCAACCTGACCAAGTTATACCCCTCCCTAAAATTTCATCCGATCGGGTTGAAATTGTTACTTCATATATTATACATAATTCCGGAGAGGTAAAAGCGTTTTTGGCGAAATATTACTTACTTGAAGAGTTGTAGCAAAAAGAAAATTTCATCAGGAACAGAAACCGAGCTTTGAAATTAAAACTCTTATAACTCCGAAAGGGATGATCAAAAATGCAAAAACGAATTTTACGTCTGGTCAATAATGTTTAATAAACCTGTTAAAAAACTGAACCCGATCGGACGAACTATAAGGAGGATCATAACATGGCCAGAGTTTGATCGGTAGCATTTTGAATTGTAGCCTTCTTCAGGCAAGACGGTGGAAAAGTGATACGTTTCGTAGAATACACACGACTCAGTCGAAACTTATTCAAAATGATTGTGCGACATCTCATGCAAAAAAACAGTTTTTTCTACAAGACACGCGATTTAGGAAATTTTTCCCCTTCTGTCAGAACGAGAAAAAAATTTTGGTCAATTTTAAATCAAATTTTGAGGCAAAAAGAAGGTGGTAGTGTACCCTTTCAAGATAACTGCTGAACAGAAACAAAATATAGAATTTTTCGGGTGAAATAAGTTAACGCATTTTACCGTAAGCTAGACGGACACCGCACTAATTGATGCTTGCGAATGGTGTGGCACCTATACTATTCAGACATTTACCACATTTTTGATATTTTGTGCATATGAAAATTCGGAAAAATCTCTGTAACCTGTAACTTTTAAATATGTGTAACGGTGCAGTATAACAAGTCTGCTAATATGAGACAAATGAGAGAAGAAAGACAGATAACATATACGTAATTAATTATCTGATTTAGCTTTGAGAAAACAAACTTTAAACCAACGACCGAATTATTTTCTCACTGTGTAGGAAAAAGATCAAATTTGAACTGAACCCGGAAGTCGTTATTTGAGATTCGGGACAATGAACGCGTCATACAAGTTGGCTATTTTTTGGTACGCCTCATATTTGTTGCGAAAAATTAATAATAAAGAGAAACTTTGCCTCTTACAATTTGAGTTCAGCCAATACTTCTTTCAAAATAATTAAAATCCGACATGTGCATAGAAACCATTCACAAGTTCAAAGACGAAATAAGAGAGTAATATTTGAGAATACTCGGTAATAAATCAGCGAAGTCGTACAACAAAGTGACACTTGCTTTACCATCTCTAAATAGTAATCTGTTTCACGATCTTTCCACTACATGAGATTCAGAGAAGAAGAAATTAAGATGGTAGTAGGTTACTCGTTTTTCTATATTCCAAATAACAGAATGTTTTGGTTTGAAGACGGAGTGAAGACACATTTTAAAAGATTCTCTTGCATTGCACTGTACACCGAGGAAGATTCCACGCATCAGGAAGAGAAAGTTATTTAGTACAATACACTGATAACGGACAACTTTATTATATACAACTGTTTATAAGCAATGTCGTTTTCTCTGAATTGAAATAGGTACCACTCTACCTATTTAAAAAAACCTACCAAAACGTTTTCTATCTCATACGAGTGCTGCACCAGAGTGCAGAGGTCTCTTTATCTTTTTTAGGTGACTAGACTCGAACAATTAATTCGAAATGAAATGAACCAAATGTTTAGAATTGGAATCGTCTGAATTGGAGATTAATGCACACGTGCTTATGAAAAGTCTATCGAACTTCTAGTTTAGTCCAACGGTTTTGGATTACTCTTTTTAGAACACCGTCACGCACCCGTCTCCTTATAGATTTGACGCAAACAAAGCATGATATATTGCCCACGTCTTTCCCTCTAGGCTTAACAGTCAACTAAAGTTCACTTATCTTTAATAATACCTTGTTTAGGTAAAAGTATAAATGTATTAAAAATTAAAACGTTCCTAGTTACTCACAAAAAAAATTAAAAAAGATAAATGCGTGAAAGATGAATCGCACATTGATTTGTTGTTAGGAAACATCTTAAACTGACGTATATCAGCAGCTTATTTACTCATTTTCTCAATGGCCTAGAAAATCATTTTAACTGACCTATACTTTTTATTACATTCTCTGCTTATATCAATGCGACAGTAATCAATCTTCGGAGATTCGCCTAGTATTCTTTCTCTCCCCATTTCCCGAATGTCAAAAAAATGATTTTTCCTTTTCCTATTTCTGTGATATTTTTCTTTAATTATTTTGCTGAGCCTAGCCAGTTAGGGAGCGCTTCGCTCTCTAGACCACTTCAAACTTCTATTTAAAAGCTATTTTAGCGTTTTTCTAAGCTCTTACCTACCAGGGACTGTTGTGGACACGAATTTCGCGTCCATGGGCGCCCATGGACGGAGCAGTTGCGTCCGTGGGCGTCCGTGGACGGACAGTTGCGTCTATGAGCGTCCATGGATAGCACCTTAAAAACCAGTTACGTCCATGGGCGCCCACGGATGGCACTTTAAAAAAGTTTTGCAGTTAACTGCAAAGCTAAGTTTACATGTTCGAATGTT